GTCATGACAAAACCTACGTAATGCGTTTGCGACCAGCATGGATCCAGACCAGCCTGCGCATCCGCGCAGTCTGATCAGGATCCATGCTGTTCGCTATCAGTTTCTCTACTTGTTATAGGGTTTGTAAGTGAACAGCATGGATCCTGATCAGACTGCGCCGCATATGTCGAACAAACGGACAGACATATGAGCGCTTACGTTAAGCTGAAATTATTTCAGATGTCTCTTATGTGTAATTAGGTCAACATTTTGTGTATTATTTTACACAAGCGGAAAAAGGGGCCAATTTTCCAATAGAATTATGAACGGGAAGTCAATATTCCTTAATAAAAAAGACCTGCTCATTATTTTGTTAAAGATTATTAACTCCCCAGGCATAATATTATGACATCTATAGTCTATACACGACATAAAGTAAACCACTCTTGGAATTGTAACTATCTTCTCCCCACCCATCTCGGAAAAAAGACCATTTTAAATATATGAACAGAACAGAACATACTTTTATTAAAGACTTATACACAGTATATTGTCTACGAACATTTAATTTACAGCAAACATACAATATGTAAGTGATAAATGTTTTACAATCAACACAAGTACATTATTAGCATCTCAAAATATGTGTGTGGAGAGTGAAATTAAACTAAAACATAAACATTATCACCGTTCAATCATATCAATATCACTTCTAAGTTTGAAGGTTTCTTTAAGACACAATGCAAAATTGCATAGATCTTTCTTATTGCTGCTTTCTAACAGTTCATAGAATTTAAAGACAAATTTAATAGCAAAAACAGTATTGCTGCTAAAATGTGGAAGTAATACTGTTTAATATATTTTACTCTAAGACGTCTATAGTAAGGACAAATACAAACAATGTGGTATATATCTTCGATATCATAAATATTACAATGCAAACATTATATGTTATTTTGGTTTTGGAGTGATATATGTGGATATATTACCTGTCAAGATTTTATATCACCCGAGCCGTTAGGCGAGGGTGATATTTTATCTTGGCAGGTAATATATCCACATATATCACTCCAAAACCAAAATAATAATTTTATTACCCTTCCGTGCCGAGTTAAGACGATTTTAAAATAAATCATTGCTACTTCAAATGTATAAACACACGACGCCAGTGTAAGTGAGAATGCGTTTATTAACGGGAAACGTGAAACGTCAAACGTGGAACGATTCTCTGTACAAAAGAGAATAAAAATAAATCATTACAAAAAATACAAAGATAATTACATGTATATCAAAACATAAAAATAAACGTACGATCATCAATCAAAACATTTGTATTTACCTCTCAAATAAACTAAACATATTTTACTTAAATAGAGATCTAATTACAGTACACTTAAATAATCTTATTTAAGATACATTCAATAAAATCCTAATATAAATTATCATTTTTAAACAAATAAAAATAAACATACCAACTATTGCGGCGTTTTAAATGTATCGTCGTGATGCTTATAAACTGTATGAACGTGTTTAAATTTGTTATGATCATTGCATTTCCGCCCAGATAAAATATGACGTAACGCGGCGTCTTAAGCCGCGCCAAACGTTAACGTTAAATTTGGTAACAAAAAATATCACTAAATAAGAAAACGATATTATGTGAATAAAATAGATGTAAGAAAGAAAAAAAATGTAACTATGTAACACAATATATAATGTTAATCTTAATAAATTCAAAGAAGAATTTAATACTCCCCTCCATGAAATAATTACTATTTCGTAACAATAAATAATTTATAAACAAACATACAAATACACTTTTGTTAATGATATTGTATGAATTACTATAATTTCAATAAATCAACTAACAAATTTATTTTAGGCAAAGTATCACTTATTGATATAAACTTAATTACAAGCATTTTCAATCAAAATTCAATTAATTTCCAATTAACAACACAAATATGTGTTAGATATTACATGTATATAAATCTAGCTTTCATCTTACTCTATAAACGTAAATTAACGTTTAACTTTTTTTTTGCACTTAAACGAGATTTACTTTTAACAAAACATTGGCTAATTATTGCCATAGTCTTTTCTACGTAAAGATACGTGCTCACATTAAATTTATATTGTTCTTTTTTATCATTCTGAACATTCTAGCAAACACAGCTTTGTTACTGGTTTTACTAATTCTGAACCCCGTGCCCTAACCACACAGCTACGTACATGACCATCTCGGCTTTTTATTACTTTCATTACTTTGCCCAGAGGCCACTGTCCTCTTGGCATGTTTTCGTCTGCTACCAGCACGAGATCACCTTCGACAACGTCTCTGGTTGATTTCTGCCACTTCTGGCGGCATTGGAGAGATGGCAAATACTCGCGTGTCCAACGCCTCCAAAACACATCGGCCATATACTGAACTTGGCGCCACCAACGTTTAGCATACTGGTCTTCTTTTCGGAATACACCTGGCGTAACACTAGAGTTTTCTTTCATCAAAAGTAACATGTTTGGGGTAAGGGATGGAAGATCTCTGGGGTCGTTGCTAACTTGAGTTATTGGTCTGTCATTCATTATTTTTTCTGCTTCTGTCATCAGTGTAATAAGCTTCTCATCATTCAACAATTGTTCAGTAGAAAGTGCCTTCAGTATTGCACGTGCTGATCTAATAAGACGCTCCCAAGCGCCACCACGGTGGCTTGCGTATGGTGGATTAAATGACCATTCAATTTCTCTTTGGGTCATGTAACGACTTATATTCACAAGATTCCATTCTCTTATAGATGTGCGCATGATCTTCTGCGGTCCTTTTCAACGCATAAGCTGAGCAACTTGGAGATGATGTTGCACCGAAAAGGTGAACTTGCATACAATATGTATTTGGAATTTTCGTCATGTCCCCATTTGGCCACCATAGAAATCGCAGAGCATCGCAATCACGTTCAATTACTCGCACTTGGTGAAACATCGCTTCGATATCAGCCATAAGTGCAATATTATCTTGTCTAAAGCGCGTTAGTACACCAACTAAACTATTCATTAAATCGGGTCCCTGAAGTAGTTGCTTATTCAAAGATGTCTCTTTATATTTTGCCGCGCAATCAAATACTACTCTTACTTTGCCTGGTTTGTTTTCATTAACTACAGGGTGATGTGTGGGAGATACCAAACACGACCTGGGTTGTTCTCATTGTTGACTAATTTTGCATAGCCTTTCTCAATGTATTCTGTTACTGTCGTAGTGTACTTTTCATGAAGGTCAGGGTCACGTGACAATCTTCGTTTTAAGTGCTGCAATCGTATGTGTGCAAGAGGTAGGTTATTTTGTAACACTGTATGTTCATCTCGCCATGGTAGGCCCATTTTATAATGTCCATCAGGCTCGTGAATCAAAGTTGATTCCATAATTGTCATAGCCTTTCTATCTTCAACCGACATAGCCCTTTTCTTCACTATGAATCGCATCAACAAAGTCTGTAGACCACATTTTTTCAAGTTGATTTTGAAGTGTGACGTCATCAGATTGGACATAGTGGATATTAACTGCGCTGCCTTTGTCAATAACGTCACTAATTGGTCCACGAACTGCCCATCCAAGACAAGTGCGAAACAGCATATGGTTTGACCACTTGCCCCCGCTCGCACCTCTAACGGAACATGCGCGTCCGGAGTATCCGTCCCCAATAAGAAGCATGACGTCACTTACGTCAACGTTAGGAATTTCAATGTCAGACAGGTGAGGTATTTTACGAACCTGATCTCTTCTAGCTGCAGATTTAGTTGTAATCGGAAAGTCTCTTTACTGTCCAAACACTCTTAAGATGAACAGCATTGACACCGGCTACAGCTCGCACGTGCAAATTTACTTCCTGTCCAGATATTGTACTTCCGGTAGAACTTACAGTAGCAATATTGAATGACACTGGTTTTCCAGGTTGATTTAATGTTTGTAACAAACGCTCATCGCATAAAGTCTTATCTGCACCGTCGTCGAGAAGAGCATATGTCTTGCACGTGCTTTCCGTTCTCGCTAGTGACCACTACGGGTATGATACCTAAGCATGCCTTGACACAGGAGCCGCTTGTAGCAGCACAATTTACTGACGGATGTGTAACTGTGTGGTCAGACCTAAACTTCGCCCAACTATGCAACAACGTGTTATGCTTTCCATTACAGTCGGGAACATTACACATATTTTGCCTATAACATGTATCAGTCATATGTTTTCCTTTAAGACAATTGTAAAACAAAGTTTGAATTTATTAATCAGTTTGCGCCTATCAGCCAAAGTTAATAAGCTAAACTTTTGACATTTTGACAAATCAGAACATGTTCCTAAGCAAACAATAACATTTCGTTCAAATCGGACTTTGTGCGTATCAGTATGAGTAGCAAATGTCGTTAATCTAGCCTTGTTATTGTTTTCAGACATTGAATTGGATGCTTTAATAGCTTTGGGTTGTGTATTTTCTTTAACAAGAATCTAAAGCATATATAGAACAAGCAACTTGAGATTTCTCATTTACAAATTTTACTAAGTCAGAGAAATTTGATTCTCTGCCAGCAATATTAATGTTGTGTGCTACATCAACCCATTTTGTTCTTAAGTGTAAAGGTAGCCTTTTAACTATACGCCTAAGATTTTCAGTATTATCAACATCTGAAACAAACCCTAACTGTGAAAGAGTTATCTCACATTTTTGCATATCTAAAGCAAGTTTTGAAAGGCTATCACTATCACCAGACTTAATTTGTTGTCCATAAACTAATTTTTCAATATAAGATCTAGCAATAACATGAGGTTTACCATAACGAGTTTTTCAATATTTCTCGTGCACGTGCGTAACCTACATCGGACTCTAACAACACACAATCTTCTATACAAGACTTTGCCTCGCCTGTACAATATTGTGTATAAGATAACTCAACCTAAGTCTGTTATCAAGAATCTTTGATTCAATGTTTGTTTCAAAATTCTTAATGAATTTTACAATAATCTATGGCACTTCCGGTAAATGTCAATAATTCAGGTTTAGGCAAATTAAACCCTTTCTGTAATGTAGACGCTAGTCTGTTGAATGCCATGTCGATGCTACTGATATCGCTAGTCACCTTACCTTTGGTGTTGGTTCTATAGCTTACTGCTGTATCAGAAGTATCCATGGAAACGTCGCATACTGGTACTTGGTTTCCGGAAACCTCCCTCCTGTTACATAGATGATAATTGTCTGCATTAAGTCTTTCTTCGTTGTATCCGATACTACGCGCAGTACTGCTAACGTCTTTATTTAACATCACATCCGGTATTTTTGTGAATGAACGACTGTCGTCATATGAATGTCGTCTGCACGACTACCGCTGTTTATGTGTGTAGCGGTGTTGGTTTGTGGTATGTCAGTTGTTACCACCGGAGCCGGAAACATTGCGTCTTGCTGCCATACTGCCTCTTCAACCTGAGCTTGATCAATTTCACTTTGCACATCAAGTAATTGTTTACGTTCTTCAAGCTCCTCCCGTTCACGTTGCAACTTTCGTTGTTGTTTGTCAATGCGCTGCTTTTCTATCAAAGTCTTTAATTTCTGTTCAGCAACTAATTTCCTTGCTTTAGCACTAAGCATTTCAGATCGTGACGAACGCACTGACGAATTATTCGTAACACGACTGTTCACTGAAATACAATCTTCTGTATTGTTCACAGATTTTTTCCACTCTGAATAGCGTTCACTAAACTCAGCAAAGTTCTTAACTTGACTGGTAAAATTACTTTCCATTGAGTTCAACTTTTCTGTATCCTCACACATATCAATACATAGAATATGTGCTGCCTTGAAATGTTCATATTTCTCACAAAGTTTATTGTACATTTCATGTACTTTGTCGTAATTTTCTGGTGATAACATTAAACGTTCCAGTTCATTAAATGTTTTCGTCAGCTGACTAAGGTGTGCAGTTCGCGACTTCATCGCGTCAGGAAACCTTTTAGAATCCATTTCCACCTTCTGCTCAGTAGGTCTTTAACCTTCGACTTGACAGTTGTTAAACTCTAGTTGAGAATTATAAACACACGACGCCAGTGTAAGTGAGAATGCGTTTATTAACGGGAAACGTGAAACGTCAAACGTGGAACGATTCTCTGTACAAAAGAGAATAAAAATAAATCATTACAAAAAATACAAAGATAATTACATGTATATCAAAACATAAAAATAAACGTACGATCATCAATCAAAACATTTGTATTTACCTCTCAAATAAACTAAACATATTTTACTTAAATAGAGATCTAATTACAGTACACTTAAATAATCTTATTTAAGATACATTCAATAAAATCCTAATATAAATTATCATTTTTAAACAAATAAATAAACATACCAACTATTGCGGCGTTTTAAATGTATCGTCGTGATGCTTATAAACTGTATGAACGTGTTTAAATTTGTTATGATCATTGCATTTCCGCCCAGATAAAATATGACGTAACGCGGCGTCTTAAGCCGCGCCAAACGTTAACGTTAAATTTGGTAACAAAAAATATCACTAAATAAGAAAACGATATTATGTGAATAAAATAGATGTATGAAAGAGAAAAAATGTAACTATGTAACACAATATATAATGTTAATCTTAATAAATTCAAAGAAGAATTTAATAAAATGAAACGTCGAAATAAGATTCCCTTTAGGATACCCCTTCAACATAACATGACGTCACATAAATACATGACGTATTTTCTTTCGAACATAACGGACGTAAACAAGTCTTAGAGAAAAGGAGTAGTGTGCTGAACGCACTTTTTTTTAATTAATATCAAGCTTTCACAAGGTCATATTTGTTTTAAATACTGATGAGAATATATATCATTATTTAATTTTGGTAAATACTTATCATTTGAAAGTTAAAAAGTGCTTGTAAATCGGAATTTATATCGCGTAAAATCTAACCGTACGCGCATCGCACGGCGCATGTTGTTTACAACATGGGGTACCCATCGGGGAAATTTAATGTGTATATTACCCGTCTGGCTAGGTAATATCAATTTCTTTCGGGTGATTAATATCCAATCAAAAAGGCGGAAAAAAATCTGGAAGGGTAATAAAAACAGTTGCATGGGTTTTTTTATGTACAAGGCTATGAAAATCACCTTTTGGTTTTTAAGTGTCTCTAAGTGACAATAAGTGACAATACCGCTTTCTCATATTGTTCAATAAATAATCCAAGACTTTTTTATTCTGGTTACTACATAATATGATATAATATAATCTGGAAACTGAGCGAAATCTCACCAGTTCACTCAAGCTGTACTTCACACTCGACGATCTACTGTTACTTATAGCAAATGCATATTCAGTGAGAAGAAATTCACAAAATGTTCAAAATTAAAACATTATCCTTTTCTTTCAATTGTTCTGATAGCAGAAATGTAATAATATTTCCAATGATTTAGTTTATCAGCATGATAATCAGATATTTAAAGTTATTAATGTATTTCAAACATCAATTTAAATAAAACAGGTAACTGTAGTGTTTCTGAGCAAATCCACAAAAACCGTCAATTTAAGCACATGTTGTACACCCCAGCACCGCCTGGAGCGGCGCTCAGAGTCGGATAAAATCTCCTTAAACGAGTCTTGCTGGCTCGTTTTTATCATTAAGCCGACGAATACAGTGTGTTTTAAGAAATTACATTGTTCACTGAGTATTTCTGCATAAATTACTGAATGCAATAATAACCTTGTAGTAATAACGTTACTGGTTGAGAGCTCTACTCGAGACTCTTCAAAGACGGTATCAGTGAATGCTGTCTACCGTCCAAGCACATCAGCAACACCTCTAGCACAGGGTGTAGCACCCGCACTATCTGACCGCCTGGACCTAACACAATATCCTAGTATGATATTAAAAAATAATTTAAATTGGTAAGATAAAGTGACCGATGCAACAAAGAGACACATCCTTGAATTTGTGTTCCACCAGGTGAAAATGTTCTGTGAATAGGGGTCTGTTGAATTTACGTGTTCTTCTGTCAGAGAGATGCAGGCTTAGCAAGTAATTTTGCATTTTTCAGCTGAAAGACTAACTGTTGGAACAATTAACATATATGGAAGTCCACATTTTCGGCGTAAGTACATTTACTGTGTTTATTCGGCTATTATCAAAACTGGCCGTGAAAGTAGTTTTCATTCATTACTACAAATACTTGCTATTAATACTTACTTCATGTCCATCAATAAGTATTTAAATTTCATATGAATGTTTATATTAGGATATACAAAAACGTTCTATGTATGTTTTTTCCCCCAGTATTTCAATTAATAGTGTTTTTCTGTAAATTATTTGTAATAAATACATTGTAAAACATATTTCAGTTGATAACTAACCAATAAAATAGAAAATCAAAGCACAGAAGGCGCTGAATTTGTTTGGGTCTCAGAATGTCAGAAAGGTGAAGGTTGTGGGATTATAAAACAATTTTGTTTTTGTATAGTGCAACCAATGCTTTCCAGCGTTTTAATTGTAGTAGATTTGCTATAAGACTAAATGCAACACTGATATTCAATCCAATGTTTATTTGACGTAAACAATTTGAAAAAAAATGAGTTGTCTCAACTGGGAATTGAACCCGGGACCTCGCGCTTCCTAAGCGAGCGTGCAAACTCCTCGGCCACGGGGACTGAAGAAAAGCATTATTATTCTTAATTAGGGTTTGTGACGACGCTAACTGTTGTTTAACACTTGTTTAAATAATCATGGCGCTTTCTATAAGCATGTATATCTATAAAGAATAAAACAATATTAGAAATCTTCGACCATTTGGGAATTATTTTGCTGGAATGCGCCTGTCATGTGACCATATTTACGCAGTGATCTCCACTGAATTTTTCGGCCTTAGTGTTACATATAAAGGGAAGTAACCGCTTCAAAAAAGCGGACTACATTCGGCATTTGCAATTAACAGCATTAGAGTCTGAAATTTCGCTACCATTATTTATTTGGTCTGACGACCCAAACAAATAAAAACCTCAGTAGAGTACCTTCTGATCAAACATAGTCCGTGTCTACGGTACGGAAAGTAGGTCAACGACTAAGAGAGACGCTAAAACTGGAAAACTAAACGTCTCAGAGTTATGTCGCTCTTTTTTGCTTTTTAAAACATAGTTTCTTTTCCTTACTCTGACAATAACAATTAACTCGAAAGTTCTCTGATTAAAGGTAAAAAATGTACATGTATGCTATAGTTTGCAGACGTTAATCATTGAATTAAATTACAATGCAACCCACAGGGGATTCTGTCATTTTTACTTTCCCACTATATATATATACATATATAAAGAATAAGAAAATAATGACAGATTTCCCTGTGATGCAACCTGGTATGTGCATTTATTAAAGGCCCATTATGTCTCGCAAATGCTTTTATTGTCTTTCTCATAAAATATATTTTTGGTGTGAAAGTTACTAATTGGCTCAATTACCTGAAAATTCCTTCACTTCTGGTGCCTTTTGCCATTTATATAGTACATTTTGAGATTGTCAAAATACTACTTTGTTTACATTTTGACACTTTTTATATTCTCACACTCAGAGCTCCCTTCTACGGAAGCGTCCTGGTGCCAATTCATAATGTTCTATAAAAAAATAAACTCCTACGTAGGAGTTTGTAACTCCTACGTAGGACTTTCAAACTCCTACGTAGGACTTTGTAAGTCCTACGTAGGACTTTATAACTCCTACGTAGGACTTTATAACTCCTACGTAGGACTTTGTAACTCCTACGTAGGACTTTATAACTCCTACGTAGGAGATAAAAAAGCCTAATTAGGAGTTTATAACTCCTACGTAGGACTTTTAAACTCCTACGTAGGACTTTATAACTCCTACGTAGGACTCCTACGTAGGACTTTATAACTCCTACGTAGGAGATAAAAAAGCCTAATTAGGACTTTATAACTCCTACGTAGGACTTTGTAACTCCTACGTAGGACTTTTAAACTCCTACGTAGGACTTTATAACTCCTACGTAGAATACATATCAAAGAACTGAAAGCACAGAATTCGACGGACATGTATGCTAGAGTATAACTTAAGATAGCATATTATGTAGGAAAATGAATTATATGAGCCGAGCCATGACAAAACCAACATAGTGCATTTGCGACCAGCATGGATCCAGACCAGCCTGCGCATCCGCGCAGTCTGATCAGGATCCATGCTGTTCGCTTACAAACCCTATTACAAGTAGAGAAACTGATAGCGAAAAGCATGGATCCTGATCAGACTGCGCGGATGCGCAGGCTGGTCTGGATCCATGCTGGTCGCAAACCAACTATGTTGATTTTGTCATGGCGCAGCTCATATGTGTCAAGTTGTAATTGTGGCAAGCCACTTTAGTAAATACCTTTAGTCTGTAGCCAGAGATGATTTTGTCATTCTCTGCATATATTAAACGATGATTCTGTATTATGTACGTTTAGTTATATTTATTATACACATGTACACAAAATGTATGGCCATTGGGTTAAACTTTGGATATACAATGTAATTCATTATTAAACATATGCATGCATAATGCTCCGCAAACCGTTATCTTCTTAAACTTTACGGAGCAGGAACAAGACACTTCATTAGAAACGGCCGAAAATGGATACATTGCTCGTATTGTTCAGCTAGTTCGTATTGAAATCGTAATCATTAAAGCCTTTTAAAATTCTGATATATATGCTTGATGTCGAGTAAGTATTTTTCGAATACTAAGTAGCTGTAAAGCAATTTTTCGGGATACATCGCCAATGCTTACAGACACCTTACCCTAAGACACTGTACACTACACTTTATTAAAAGGTGAAGTGTTGCGGCATGGCCGTGTGACTAGTAGTCTAATGACCGCTAGCCGCATGGGTTCAAACCCCGTTAGGCGCAAGCCGTTGTTTCCTTGAGCAAGAAACTTTACACTCGTTGCTAAGTACGTACTGGTTGGTTCCAGGAACGGATTCGAAAGTGTGTCTATAAGCTTATAGCTTTCTACACAATCAAACTTAAATAAATTCTGTATGAACCAAAGGTGAAATGTCCTCTATGTTTAAGATTTGGGGGGGGGGGGAGCTAAGTGTCTTGTTCCTTCGCCGATATACCGGTCCGGAATGTTGAGATTTGCAAAGCATTCTGTATGCATTTCTTATAAAGTCATAAAGTCCTACGTAGGAGTTATAAAGTCCTACGTAGGAGTTAGAAAGTCCTACGTAGGAGTTTAAAAGTCCTACGTAGGAGTAAAAAAGTCCTACGTAGGAGTTTAAAAATCCTACGTAGGAGTTATAAACTCCTAATTAGGTTTTTTTTATCTCCTACGTAGGAGTTTTAAAGTCCTACGTAGGAGTTTAAAAGTCCTACGTAGGAGTTATAAACTCCTAATTAGGCTTTTTTTATCTCCTACGTAGGAGTTATAAAGTCCTACGTAGGAGTTAAAAAGTCCTACGTAGAAGTTAAAAAGTCCTACGTAGGAGTTTAAAAGTCCTACGTAGGAGTTATAAACTCCTAATTAGGCTTTTTTATCTCCTACGTAAGAGTTATAAAGTCCTACGTAGGAGTTTAAAAGTCCTACGTAGGAGTTATAAACTCCTAATTAGGCTTTTTTTATCTCCTACGTAGGAGTTATAAAGTCCTACGAAGGAGTTAAAAAGTCCTACGTAGAAGTTAAAAAGTCCTACGTAGGAGTTTAAAAGTCCTACGTAGGAGTTATAAACTCCTAATTAGGCTTTTTTATCTCCTACGTAAGAGTTATAAAGTCCTACGTAGGACTTACAAAGTCCTACGTAGGAGTTATAAAGTCCTACGTAGGAGTTTAAAAGTCCTACGTAGGAGTTACAAACTCCTAATTAGGCTTTTTTATCTCCTACGTAGGAGTTTATTTTTTTATAGAACATTATGAATTGGCACCAGGACGCTTCCGTAAAATTGCGCTTGAATTGTTTCCGTACTTATTTTCATTGCGTCGCATTTTTAGTGGTTAAGTCACGTGCATAATGATAACGTCGCATGTCTAAATATAGAACGTCAACAGTGATTTATTTTATTGCATATTCTTACATTCCTGATGATTTTGTCACTATAGACAAAGAAGAAAAAACCGGTGTACTGCTAATAAACACTGGTTATGGACTACTTGTTTATGAGCATCTTATGTTTTCTCCCTCAATTATATAGTTTACAAAGCCTTTTAAAGCAACAATAAAAAAAACATTGTAACTAATATTTTCAGTTCTTATAATGTTTTCTTTTTTATACAATACTAAAATAATATCTCACGTATAAAGCCACAGATTTGATCCATATCAGTTAAAATAAATATTTTGACACCCGTAAGCAGCGTAATGACGTCATTCTAAGTTGTTTTATTATTTCTATATTTTAACAACAGAAGGATGCGAAATCGAACAGCGTTATACGAAAATCAGCACCGGGAGTAATCTCCGCTTGAAAAAATAACATTAGTGATCTTCCTTAACTTCTCTTATTAGAATCGAAATAATATCTGTCTGAGCGGTGTTTATCGGCTATTTAACACCGGTATTGTCGTTTTGGTGCGAAAAATTAACCTCTCAAGCCTACGGCTTTCATGGTCAATTCTTACGCATGATAAACACCGCTAAGACCGATGTTAATTCTTAAAAAACACACACTTTTGGTTCTTCTATATTCAATAGGGAACAATGTGGGTCGTGTTAGAAAATATATTACATTTTTCAGGTGGATCTACAATATCAACTAGCGACAGACTACTCGTATACAATTTCCTGTCTTTTTGCTGGAATTTTCATAGCTGATGTAAGTGTTCATAGGGAACTAACCGATTAACTCTTCGTGTTTTTTACACAGTTTAATAAATAACGACAATCTACAAATTGAAGCAGCCCTTACAAAAAAGGAACGAGTAAGACTTGTACGATATGATATTTATTCCTAAGTGACCAATAATCTTTATTGTTGTCTACTTAGATGAAATTAACCAAAAAAATCCTAAGCCAACACAAATTTTCAAATTAATATATTTTCAGAGGCATTTGCAATTCATCCCTTTTGTGTGGCAACGTGGCCAATGGTTTAAAGCGCCACTGTTTTTTAGAATTTTTGACCTTTTTGACATATTAAAAAAAAAATGTTCAAAAGTTCCACACATAAAAATTTTTGTAAAATTTAAACCCCCACTTCTCATATTTTTAGGTAAAATAAACCGGATTTTAAAATTTTGATAAAATACCGGTGGAAAATTGCAAGGGAGTGGGCGTAGCCCGTGCAAAATTATAAACTGAAAATTGGGATGGGTTTGAGCCCGTACAGTTGCGCAGCCGTGCGTACAAACATTGCATTAGGGAAATTTTAAAAGTGGTTTATAGCAGACATTAGCAAGCAAGTACCCAACAAAATTATAAAACGTGAAAATTTTAGTAAGTTAAAACCCAAAAATTAAAAAACCCCTAAAATTGGCCAAAATTTGCAAAAACCAAAAGAAAAAAAACAGTAGCGCAGCAGAAGCAGTAGCTAACTTATAAAACGTGAAGTTGGCAGTAGCAGTTGCACTGCAGTAGCAATAGCAAAATTATAAAACGTGGAGTGTGTCAGAGTGTCCGAGAATCAGTCGCAGACCAAAGAAATGAAACGTGTGCCTAGAAGTCAAACATGTCATAAACGCCATTGGCTATACAAAATAACAGAAAGTCTGCGAGTGTCACAGAATCTGGCAGGTCCTTAGAAGTCTGAATAGTCATTATCTGCATTGGTACCAACATTCCTTAAAGTCTGCGAGTATAAAACATTAAGTCGCAGGCCAATGAAAAATACACTTTAAGGTCCCTAGAAGTAAAAAAAATCATTATTTCTATTGGCACCAACATACCTGAACGTCTTCAAGTGCCTCATACGTGCCTAGAAGTCGAACATGTCAATAAAACATTGGCAACAATAAACCCTGGAACTCTACGAGTGTTAATTTTGCTACTGCTGTACATCTTTTACTGCCAACTTCACGTTTTATAATTTTGCTACTGCTGTGCTACTGCTACTGCCAACTTCACGTGTTATAATTTTGCTACTGCTGTGCCACTGCTACTGCCAACTTCACGTTTCATGTGTCACATGCATCATTAGCCGCAGGTATCACGCGATGCACCATTTGTAGAAAATCATGTCTAAATATTGTTAGGAATATTTCCACACAGCATGTGTTATATGTATCATGCATCTGCCGGTATCAAGCCAAACCATGTCTTTTATTGTAATGACTATTACCACACATCATTTGTCTAATGTATCTTGTATCTGCGTGTATCAAGCGAAACACTATTTGTTGAAAATCATGTCTCATATTGTAATGGATATTCCGACGCATCATGCGTTAAATGTATCATATATCCGCAGGATTCAAGCGATTCGCGGTATGTAGAAGATCATGTCGCCAACGATGCAGGAGAAGCGGATGGTGACTACATAATAAATGATTTCGCTAGATGGGCAGAGGCTTCAATACGTCATTTTAATTATGACCATGCTGCTTTGCTTACAGGGTAAGGAAATGTTTCTTCTTTTTTCCTTTTATATTTAAGAAATAATATATCCCAAACAGTGAATTTATCGCCCAATAACATCACCGTCTAGAGTTCGGATGCGATGAAGGGCGTAGCAAGAGGGAGTAGCAAATATAATGCTGCCGTACGTGATATTTAAAGCTAAATTGCACCAGGGTTGCGTTTCACTAACGCACTTTCGTTATCAGAAATCAAAATTGAACATAACTCTTTGCGTCAGCAGAACATACGTTTTATTTTCGTTTTACTAAACTTTCTTAGCTATATATATATATGCATTTGTGTAATTTTAAACGTAAAGTAACGCTCACTTACTGCTGGCGTAAGTTGCACGTTCTGTATAGTGAAACGCAACTAACGTAAATTTACGTTTTGCGTAAGTCCCAAATTTACATAAAAAGATACGTTAAACTTACGTAATGTTAGTGAAACGCTCGTCTGGTTTGTTTCCGTACATATTATCAACAGTGATTTTATTGCATAATAACACACACTTTCGGTTCTTCTATGTTCAATAGGGAAAATGCGGGTCGTGTTAGAATTCTCAATATTTCATATATTTCTATAAGTATATAATAAAAAATACTATTTTTTAAATCTACCCTAATTTTCATTCAAAATGTTGATGGTAAAATTAAAAAAAAAAACAAGATGACAAAAAAAGAAAGAAAAAAACGCAATTATTGATAGAAGGAGCCTTGTTGAAGACGTTTGTAGGTAATGTAGAAGTTAAATAGATGTATAAATGGGCTTGCTTTGAATTCACGTAGACTTGTACATGCTCGGTATCTTGTAGATATTTTTGAATATTTTTTTCAAACATTTTGAACAAATCTTTTCGAATTTAATGCCATTCAATGTTAAATGTCGAATTATTATGAGAGATACAATCAGTTTGGATATATTATTTCTTAGTTATACTTAATATTGGTGCAAGTCATGTACTCGGTAGCTTGCACTTTATAGTACAGCCCCGTGAATAAGCTCAATAAATCTGCGCAGGCAATATTTTCAATTTTGTCGTTTAAGACATTCTTTATGGATTCTGTTTCTATATACTTAATCAATAAACGCAAAGATTAATCCTAAAATATGTCAATTAAGCGACATTATTTACAATAGTATTTGTTTATCAAATAATTCATTACTGTTAAATACATATTATTATCAAATGAAAATGAAGGTCTATGTGTTATACTGAACCATTGAATGACAAAATTTGGTTTTCAGGAAAAAAATCATAATGTTTGACACAATTTCATATTTGAATTAAATATGATTAATATATATTTACTAGAAGCGGTTTTTGTTAGTAAGTACAACACCGAAAGTTACACTTATGGACCTACAAAAAATTCGTTTCCCTAAATTTCGATTATTTTAAGTCAAAAAATCACCATAAAATTAGGAAATGTGGTTGTCTGAAAACAAATGCGGTCAATGTTTGTGCTTTGGTTCACCCTAATTCGATAAGAAGAAACAAATTCTAGTTCATAGTCTACAATTTTTATTGATATTTTGTTTTCTTTATATTTATATTTAGGCGCGGTATGGGATATATGAAGATGGTAAATTCCCAAAAGTGGTCTTCTATTAGGTATACACACTAATACATAGTAAAATATTGATTTGTTTCAATTAAATCTAATCATTTTTGTGTTTGTCAACACAAACTGTCTGAGACTGTTATATAAACTATATTTTTTAAAATACTCAAGTCCTGTTTACATTAAATATAAGCAAAATTAAGAAACAGATTGTTTCAGTTTTCAATGTTCGGAACTGGATTACACGTTGCTTGGAGTCTGGTGGTAGCATGCATTTACAATTTCCGTTCGTGTAACATGCTTAAAACCAATTGTGAAACCGAGCCTGCAACTTTTTTCAAATTCGTCATTTTGAGTGCTCCTTAAGGTTTCAATTTTTCTATTTCATAAAAATAAATATATCTGCTTATTCTTTTTTGATAAAAAGTTATGATTCGTATTTTAAGGTGTTGCATATTTTGTCCGGAGTTTGTCAAAGTAATGCATATTCTATCAATGAAATGACAGCATTCAAACCGTCGATTGCAATTGTTATCGCACATGAGATTGGACATAAGTAAGTTAATTACACTGTTACTTGTTGTTGTTTTTTTCTGTTAGTATTTTGTAGAAAGTGATAAGTTAAAGAATTTCGTCGGAGTCAAGTGATACAGTGTCTTTAAGAACCGCACTAAATGTAACTCAGCTTTTCCTTGCATATCAGACTGGATTATCTACTGTTTAAACAACCGGTGCTAGAAAATCCCGTCTTTCACCCCATGTAAGATAAGTCACGAGCTTTAAATGACGGCATATCCGCGTGCCTTTTGAACGATTTGTATTTTTTAGAATGACGTCTTTTAACCGTTATATGAATGAAGTTGGAAGTTGTAAGTTCATACGCTACTATAAGAAAAAAAGGACGTAATGAGAATATCAGTTTTCGTAATTTCTGTTCTGAAAGTTATTGATATGTAATATGTAAGAGAAAGAATCAAGCACCGGCTGTCGGTACAGACGGGAATATCTAGCTCTCGGGTAACTGTTTAACAGAAACTCGACCGAGCCTCGTTACGGCCGTAAACAGTCACCCTCGAGCTAGATATTCCGGTCTGTACTGGTAGCCGGTGTAAGATTCATATAATCTGGTCGTTTTCCAATTGTTTATTACTTGAAAATTTCAAAAAATGTTAACTATGAAACTGAGAGGTCAATATTAGCCAGTGTCCATTGGGACGGTTATTGAGTGCCGCTTCCCCTTTGTTTGTTATGATATCAAGATCATATAACTCTTTACATGTTTAGTTGCAAACTCCTCACAGTCATTACCTCCCTTTACAGATTGTAATCACTGCCTTCGCAGACATCACATGATGATGAAAGTCACATGACGTAACGTCGAAATTCAAATGTAAATAGCGACCGTTGCATAGAAAATCTTACGTCATTTTTCTCTTTCTGTTTTATTTTTAACTTCTCGTACCTAAGTTCGTTATAGTTTATCAAATAAATATCAAAGGTATACAAAATAATGAAAATTAAATTCAAAAGCTGAAAATATAAAATATCAGAAATTCTGATATAGGCAGAGATCTCTGTACTCATAAGGGGAGATCACTGCGTAGGAGATTGGTTTAGTTGTACAGTTAATGGTTGCTTCCCTTTACTTGATATCCATTAATGCTATGTTATATAATTATATGATCATACCTCTCTGATACCTAGGCATTCTCACTTAAGCTCCGGTCTTAACAACATGTATTAAATGGTTATAATAAATAAAAGAATCGTTTGAATCTTGTTATCATCCATGCAACATAACATTGTTGAACTTTGCAGATTTCATAGAGTGGTCAGCTACATAGTTTATTTCATTGTTTAATATTTTTCTCATTAATCGTTTCGTTTCGGTTTCAGTTTAGGATCACATCATGATGGTTATACAAATAGCTGTCCGTATGGAGGTATCATGACGCCCTATCTTAAAATATCCTATGACTCATCCAGGAACCTAAAACTTTGGCAGTTTTCGTCTTGTTCACAGACATATTTTGACACTCGTATCACCTATTTGAATCAAGTGTAAGTTTAAAGTTTAATTAGTGGTGAATATGATTAATTATCTTTATTTCATGCTTTCAAGTGTTTACTGTAATATATCAGATGATTATATTCTGATAAAGCACTAAAGTCTGTCCCATCAAATTTGAACATTCCATTTTTAATTTAATATATTAGTAAAATCATTTATATTAATGTCATGTTAACCCTGACGTCAATATCTCTAGGCATGTTTTTCATTTTTTTCATAAAGTCAGTAATATGGTCAAAATGTTAAAATTATATTTTTTTCCCGTTGACTTACGTTGTAACCTGACGTGACGTCCATTTCAAAATGGCGGCGCCCATATGGACATCATTTAGGGTTCGTCTCACAATTAGCGTGAAAAGTACTCCGTAATTATAAAAGAAATGATTATTCCTATTTACTTCCTGGTCAAGTAACTAAATGTTATCATTAAAATGAAATATAGAAAAAAAATTTGGGGTTTAAAAAGGAATTTTTCTAGCAAACATTATTTAAAAAATTTAAAAAACACTTTAGAAACCCCGGTATCTTTGAATTTTAGGGAGGGAAAAACAGCTAGAAGACTATAAACAAAGGTTCTTTCCCCTAAAATTAATGTTTTAAAATAATTCGTATTTTCCAACTTAAAATGTACTACACAAGAAATATAAAGAAAGGAAAACTGATTCACTAAACGTTCAGCATTGATTTGCTTGTTACCACAGTGTCTACTTTAACTAACTCCCTCGCTAACGAGAGAACACAGAAAATGTAAATTATAAGAATATAATATCATGCTTTATCACACACCCGTGCCGATTTTGCGACTCCGTGAATATGGTATTGCACGGCCGTGCATATATTTTGACGTGACGTCATTAACGTTATACAAACATAGTGTAAAGACGCGCTAAATGTTAGCGTAATACTATAGGCGCGTCAATGAAAAATGACTCTTATTTCACTCACAGGTGCTAGTGGCATTGATTTGACCTAAAATGTGTTTGACCTTGTTATTTATACAATAAAATATCAGTATATTAAAAAAAAAAACAAAAAAAAAACCTTTTTTTTTCCACTGTTATATTATTATAGACAAAGTATGCAACATTCAGGTACGAAAATTATGGGTACGCCGGTTATCTGTGTTAAAATTTTTCACCGGGCGGTAATATCGTCGGATTTTTGCATGGAATCAATGCACAATATATTTTTCTATTACAATTTACTATATACAGATCCCCAATTAACCGCTAATTAAAGTTTTAAAGCCCGAAAGTAAGAAATCACCCAGGTCCGAAAGATGAGACCGTCATGACATGTACATTGTAAGCTGGAATTAACGCTTGAAATACATCAACAAAGAGATCAAACGGGTCGAACGTACATGCAAACAACTGGATTTACATACTTTTAAATGGTTATATCCTCCACGAGTGGCACTAAGTCCTATGTGCCCGTATTTTAAGAAAAATTCTACATGTATAAGGTAATTCCTAAATCGGAAGTGTTCTCCCGCAACACGTGCTTGGTTCCCTGTTCCGCTCTTTGTCAATGTATGTAAAACGGAAGCCGGAGAATACTTCCGGTAGGAATTACCTTCTAAAAATATCGTCTACATGTAGGATATTTCTTTAAATACAGGCTCATAGGACTAAGTTCGACTCGTGGAGGATAAAACCATTTAAAAGTATGTAAAATCAAGTTGTTTGCATGTGTGTTCGACCCGTTTGATCTCATTGTTGATGTATTTCAAGCGTAAATAGCAGGTTACAATGTACATGTCATGACGGTCTCATCTTTCGGACCTGGGTGATTTCTTACTTTCGGGCTTTAAAACATTAACTAGTGGTTAATTGGGGATCTGTAAATAGTAAATTGTAATAGAAAAATATATTGTGCATTGATTCCATGCAAAAATCCGACGATATTACCGCCCGGTGAAAAATTTTAACACAGATAACCGGCGTACCCATAATTTTCGTACCTGAATGTTGCATACCTTGTCTTTAATAATATAACAGTGAAAAAGAAATTTTTTTATTTTTTTTTTTAATATATTGATATTTTATTGTATAAATAACAAGGTCAAACACATTTTTAGGTCAAATCAATGCCACTAGCACCTGTGATTTCACTTAAAACGGTCTTTATTTTTGGTATGTGATAAATAGAATATTGAATTCGTGTAAGTTCATTACTGAATTTATTGCACTCGTTGAATAAAATAATGTTATGCTCGCCAGAGGCTCGCATAATATAATTTTATTCAACTCGTGCAGTAAATTTATTATTGAACTTACACTCATTCAATATCCTCTATTTATCAAACGTAGGCCTATACACTTCGTAAATACAAATTTAACTTTCCGTCTCACAATTCAACAAAATGTCCAGAAATACCCAAAGGGGTACGGCTCATTGAATGTTCACAAAATATGTATTTGATGGTAGAAATATATTCCTAGCCGGACTAGGTTCTCTCCCTTGTTTTATTTTCTCTATTTTTAGAAGATCTTGAACTTTTTCTGAATGATGATCCATCGTGTGGTTTAAATATTGATGAAATCCTGCTAGTCATTATGTTGTTTGCTGATAACATGGTGCTTTTTAGTAATACTCCCGTTGATCTTCAATGCAAGCTCGACTTGTTAAAATTATATTGTGATCGCTGGGGTCTTATTGTCAATACTGAAAGAACTAAGGCTGTGGTTTTCCGAAAGCGAGGTTATATAAGACCCGACTAGCACTGGCATTACGCGAACTCCTCTCTTGGAGTTGTCGATAATTTTAATTACCTGGGCACTGTGTTTTCTTACAACGGCTCTATAAAGTAAACCAAGACACACTAATTGGTAAAGGCTTTAAATGTACTGGAATTTTACTATCGCGCCTTCAATTCAATGTAGCCCGAGTGACATAATGATGCGCATCCGAACGACAGTGCTTTTTATCAAGCAATAAATTCACCGATTTGAATAATTATATTATTTTGATTCTAACACGACATCAACAAATAAATGCTGCCGTACCTGATATTTAGCTAAATTGTGCCTGATTGTCTCCGTACTCCGCGTCTCATTTTAGTGGTTACGTCACAGGCATATAATGATTACGTCACATGTCTAAATATAGAACGTCAACACTGGTTTTATTGCATAATAACACAATTCAATATGGAAAAATGCGGGTCGTGTTTCAATTCTTAATTTAACACCGGTTTGGAGTTTTAATGCATGAGCCCTGAGTGGTTACTTTTTTCGCATCAAAACGACATTTTAGCCGATGAACACCATTCAGACCGATATCATTTCCATTCTTAGAAGACAAAATGAGGAAGATCACTAATGCTTTTTTTTTCAAGCGATTACGTTCGGTACCGATTTTCGTAAATTACGCTGTTTGATTTGAGTGAGACTAAAAAGGATTGGAGTACCTCACTAAATACCGTATTCCGGTATATACCGGACAAGACGCTTGAATTATCAAATGCTGAAATCTCGCCTTTTCACCTTATAGAATAAACTTTAAAGACGTTTTCGGAAGTTTTCATATCTGTAGACAAATAGGCAAAATGAAAACAGTTCAATAGAATTTCTTTGAACTTTGCATGTTGTTAGAATATGATAACAGAAACATTTTAAGCGAAAAGAAAATGGGGTCACCGTTCTCGTTTTATTAGGTAGATTAATTATAGTTACAACGCTCTGTCAAGTGTGCTTAACGCCAAATGTTATTACTTCTTGCATATCAGACAGGATCATCTACCCTTTACACCTGTCTTACACCCTCATGTAAGACCAGTCGCGTGCTTAAAATGACACCATTGTCGTGCACCTTTTATGAATGAATTGCGTAGGATGACGTCATTTTACCGGTTTGAATGTTGTTAGCTCATACGCTATTATAAGAAAAAAGTGCGTAATGAGAATATCAGTTTTCGTGATTTCTGTTCTGAAAATAATTGATATGTAATATGCAAGAAAAAGAAGCAAACACAGGCTGTTGTCACAGACAGGAATATCTAGCTCTCGGGTGACTGTTTAGCGGGAACTCGGCCGAGTCTCGTTACCGCCTCGAGCTAAAAAATATTCCGGTCTTTACCGGTAGTCGGTGTAAGATGCTTATAGTATTCAGCCTTTAGTCCAATAAATTGTTATTTTTTACAGTCAAAAGATTGAAATGAAGATATGTACTATGTAGAATATTCAAGTTTTTTGAACACATGATTAAATTTCATCGAGTAATATGACAAAAAACATATCATGAGTGGCGGTAGCCACAATTGAAATATGATAATTTATCCTGTCACTTGTATCAATTTCGGCCCGATAACAAGGTGCCGTATATTTTTACTAATCTACGGCACTTGATTACGTGTTATGCATAGTTTGCCGGACTACTTTTCAAGAAAAAATATATTTATTATTATAATGTTGGACTTTAAGTTCTGTGTGTAGAATAACGAATTTTGGAAACGTTGATAAAACTTTGTTTGTTTATTTTATTTCACTCTATAATTTTTCAAGCGAAATAAAAATTATTAAAAGTGAAATAAATGTAAAACTTAACTCGTTTGCGACATTAAAATAGCGTACATGATTTGATTGTTTTGCACGTGCTGTTTGGCGCTACATTGTGACGTCACGTAAACACTACTTTAAACGTCTTCGGCTCACCCAATAAATTCCTCCGCCTCACCAGATAAACTTTCTCCATCTACGGCACCAACCTATTATTCTCTATTTTCATAGCACAAAATGAAAATAAATCTTGTATTTATAGAAAAAGACTTGGATTTTCTGTTTATTATGTAGAGGATATTTGTTTAGTTTAGTGTAAGATCGGAATTTATCCTGTCACTTGTATCAATTTCGGCCCGATAACAAGGTGCCGTATATTTTTACTGATCTACGGCACTTGATCACGTGGTATGCATGTTTGCCGGACTAAAAATACAAGAAAAAAATATAAAAACTGTCGTTAAATCTTCTGTGTGTAGAATAACGAATTTTGGAAACGTTTGAAAACTTTGTTTGTTTATTTTATTTCACTCCAAAATTTTTCAAGCGAAATAAAAATTATTAAAAGTGAAATAAATGTAAAACTTAACTCGTTTGCGACATTAAAATAGCGTACTTGATTTGATTGTTTTGCACGTGCTGTTTGGCGCTACATTGTGACGTCACGTAAACAATACTTTAAACGTCTGTATAGAGTTAACGACTGAATAAAAGATATTGGTGTTCGAATTCATTTTCTTAGTTAGACCATTTTCTTTCATTCTAGATCTAGTTTTCACAACAAAATTCAACAAAAAATTGTTTTTATTTATCACATTCTTCAAACAAAATGGCGCCCTCAATGTGAAAATACACAGGGAGATAATAAGAACGGCGAGTGCATTGTTGTAGAATAATGCACGCTTCGGGCCTTCTTTGTTTATATAGACACATTTCCGATAGTGTGATTAAAGGTAGTTTGCCTAATAAAATTCTTTAAAAAAAAACGGTGACAGGATAAATAGAATAATAGATTGGTGCCGTGGATGGAGTAAGTTTATCTGGCTCTGCTCCGGAATTTATTGGGTTCGCCTTCGGCTCACCCAATAAATTCCTCCGCCTCGCCAGATAAACTTTCTCCATCCACGGCACCAACCTATTATTCTCTATATATTTCACCAAGTGTCTAGTGAGCACCAAAAGATATATTTCGCGAGTGGCGCAGCCACAAGAGAAATATGAACTTTTGGTGTTCACGAGGTGACATATATTTCGATCTTAGACTAAATTAACCAAATTGTCTTTTTATTATAGGCAAAATAACGATTAACAAGACATTTTAACCTCATGCTAAATGAAAAGTTCGCCAAATAATAATACAACGTGACGTCATTTACTACGTTACGTCAGTAAGTTGGTTTCCAGTACTGTGCATGCTGGTATTTCACTGAAACAATATAACGGGCTTAAATTCAAAATTGATAAATTCACTGTTTCAAACAGTGAAATATTAGTTTTTTATTTCACTTATATATTCTATAATCTACCGAAAAGCATGTTATAAATAGAGGATATTTGTTTGTTTTGCATGTAAGATTGAAATATATTTCACTGAGTGAACACCAGATGCAATATTTTCATGAGTGGCGTAGCCACGAGTGAAAATATGATAGCTGGGGTGTTCACGAATGATATATTTCAATCTTATATGTAAAACAAATAAATTTTCTTTTTATTTCATGTTTTTTAAGTGATTTTAAGTAATTTTTATTGATTTTGCCGCGTAACGTCGTGCATTCTCCTCTCTGACGTCATCACATCATAACGTCACATCGTCAATTTTGAAATATAGTTCCGATATATTTCTCTAATTTTGTTACATTTTTAACATGATGTATGATGACATCGACTTTCTTTTCTTAAAATGAAAATATGTATGACGGCATTTATTTTTGCCTGTTATTCCATTTAGTTATGATATTTCTTTCATCCGCATTCAGATATAGTTCGGCTACAGTGAAAATTATATTTTATGAATTTCACTAGTGGTTTATCAGAATGTAATCATCAGATTTATTAAAGTAAAACACTATATAAAGCATGAAATAAATGTTTTTTATCTATTTTGTGCCCCCACCATAGAGGGCATATAGAATTTCCTTTGTCAGTCTATGCCTTCAATCTGGACATTCTTTCTGAGTTGATATTTTGGGTTTTTTAAAATTATGCCCGGGGCATAAAGAATTTCGGGCATATTATGTAATACCCCCCTGGCGTCCGTCCGTCCATCCGTCCATTACCAATTTGGTTTCCGGAGAATAACTTAAGTTACATTTGGCCCACAATATTCAAACTTCATAGGATGATTGTCCACATTGGGTAGAAGACTCTATTGATGTTGGGGTCACAAGGTCAAAGGTCAAGGTCACTATTACCTTAAAACTGAAAACAGTTTCCGGAGCATAACTTAAGTTCCATTTGACCCACAGTGTTCAAACTTCATAGGTTGATTGTTCATATTAGACAGAAAAACTTCTATTGATTTTGGGGTCACAAGGTCAAAGGTCAAGGTCACTATTACCTAAAAACTAAAAAGAGTTTCCGGAACATATCTTAAGTTCCATTTGGCACACAATGTTCAAACTTCATAGGATGATTGTCCATATTTGGAAGAAAACCCCTATTGATTTTGGGGTCACAAGGTCAAAGATCAAGGTCACTATTACCTTAAAACTGAAAAAAGTTTCTGGAGCATAACTTAAGTTCCATATGGCCCACAATATTCATACTTCATTGGAGAATTGCTATTTGAAAGAGGTAATACTTTATTTAATTCCCATGCTTTACAAATGCTTCATCCTTACTAAAAAACTATACTTTCGGGCATATAATGCTCCGGTTAGCGGTGCTCTTATTTTTATTGGATCTTGTTTGATCTATAAAACCTCACAAGCAACGTATTTGCACCCCATAGGCAACTCTTTTTCCCACAATAACAAGTCTGTACGTAATGAACATTGATATCCATCCCATAATGTCAACTGAGTTCGTGCGGACGTACGTCCGTCCGTTCTTATGTTGTGACGCACGTAGCTCAAGGGTATTTGACCTAGAGTCATGAAACTTTACAGGAATATTGGTAAGCATGTGTAGTTGTGTGCACCTCAGTGTTTGCGTATGGATTTATTTAGTATTTTTTAAGTTATACAAAATGCAATTTTCAAATTGTGTCGCACGTAGCTCAGAAAATATTTGACCTAGGAACATGAAACTTTACAGGAATGTTCCTCATTATGTAAAGTTGTGCACCTGGTGTTTCGCTTGTGGATTTATTCTGTTTTGTCAGAGTAAATGCTCTTGACTTAGTAAAAATTTTCAATTTGTGTCGTGCGTAGCTCAAAAGTGTTTGACATAGGGTCATGAAACTTAACAGGAATTTTTGGTCAGCATGTATAGATGTGCACCTAGGGGATTTGCCTGTAGAGTTATTCAGTATTTGTAGAGTTATTGCCCTTAACTAAGTAAAAAATTGCACTTTTCAATTTGTAATTTGTGTCACGCGTAGCTCAAATATTTGACCTAGAGTCATGAATCTGATCAGCATTTGAATTTATGCACCCCAGGCCGTATTCTTAAAGAATCTTAAGTGAAAAATTTCCCCTTTACTCAAAATTTTCCCTTAAAATCATATGAGTTTTTCTGAAATCTTTGGTTATAGATCTATTCAGTATTTTTAAAGTTATTACTCTTTAAATAGAAAAAAATTGGAATTTTCAACTTGTTCATACATATCTCAAATTGTATTTGATCAGTAGTCTTGAAAGTTTCCAAGAATGTCGGTCAGCATGCGTAGTTATGCACCTTGGGGTTTGCTTGTGAATTTATTCAGTGTTTGTAGAGTTTTTGCTTTTGACTTAGTAAAAGATTTTCAGTTTCTAACTTACGTCGCGTGTAACCCAAAAAAATATTTGACCTATAGTCAGTAGATTGACAAAACAGTGGAGTTTTGGGGCACCGTGTCCATAGATACATTTCTAGTTTTGACATTACAATTTGAAATACTTCCCCATAAATTGTGTGTATTGGCTGAATGATGAAGAAAAGTTAAAAAGTTAAAATACGAAAAATATGTATTCTCTGCAGTGAGAAAATACGGAAAATGAAAATACGTCTTTTTTTAATCAATATTTAAAATATTGCATTTACAAGTATATAATAAATGTACTCATTTGTTGTTTACTTAAGCTCTAATAACTGTATGGCTGCAAGAACAGCGACAGGCAATGATGACATTGACCCTTATGCAAATGACCTTGGAGGTCAAGTTTACAATCCTGACACCCAATGTGAGATGATGCAAGGAAAAGGATCGTTTTTGTACAGGGTAAGGATACTCTGATGTCATTTGATAATATGTCAACATTAACAAGATTTTATCATTCCCATTTTAAAGACAAATGGTGTATTGCTTGCAATTGTCGGTCGATCGTTTGACCTCTTCGTTTCTGTTCAACATGGCGATGTAAATCAACCTTTCGACTGCCTAGTATAATCAACTATATTAAGTATAGACACCTAATATTTTAGCGTAAATGGCACAGTTACCTTGATTATGAAAACCGGCTCCGCTCATCAACTTGTGAACCATTTAAACACTTCGCCATAAATCTTAACAAGATTATTAAGAAGATCCTTATTGTTTTTAAGCGTCAGTATGTACAGGTCAATGTCTCTTGAATGTTGAATTTAAAGCCACATTTTGTTTCAGAAACAAACTTTCACTTCTTAAGAAAGATCAAACTTGAGTTCTATAATGTTTAAATAATGGCTTTAAAGTATGTTCGATGCTTGTTATATGAAGAAAGTAGCGATAAATTTGAAGTTATTTGTCATATAAGGAGCAAAATGCAAACAAACTAGTAATTTGACTTCCATACAAAAACATAACTGTACGTATTGGCAAAAAGCACAATATGAAAAAGATGATTAAGGTAATTGGCCAACGGGTAACCTTTTACACCAACAATTAAAAGTTTTGATAAATAAAAATAATAGCATTCTGAGGTATAATAGGCCTTTAATGTGAAAAACATTCAATACGTAATCATTTGATCCACAACCTTCAAACTTTAAAGAATGATCAAATTCATAAAGTAAAAGAGCCATGCTGTTGTTTTTGCACTAAGCTGTGTTGAACCTCAATATTCACAAAAAAGACTTCAACACACGTTTGAAAAATTCGCTCGAATTCCTTACACGTGTGTGACAAGTTCGTACGAATTTGGCACACATTTGTGAATTATTCGCTCAGCACCTTTACCAACCCCCCCCCCCCCGCCGCCAAGCAGAAACGAATTCGTCACGTGTTAATGGCTAGATTTCAATGAAACTTCTTTATCAAGAGAAGATGAGAATATCTTTAGGTTACCGGGTTCGACCATTAAACACAGAGTTATTACCCCTGATTCGTTAAACAATAATATTTAAGTTATTTTTTCGTTTCCGAGCTATTTGGAAACACTATTGGCTTGATTTAAGTGAAATATGACGTTGTACTTTGAAATAACAACCGTGGAAAAAACAATGAAAAAAAAAAAAAAAATATCATCCATAAATGCATAAAAGAAACAAGAAAATTTGTTTAAATTCAGTGAAAGGTCATTTGTTATTTCACTTGTGATCATATAAATCAATGTTTTCATATTTAATTTTTATGATCACAAGTTTAGTTGTAATCTTATTCCGTATGTAGAATCAAGTTTTTTGACAATCTGGTAAAGCTATTGATATATTTCGCTGATAGACTGCAAAATTAGTGCATTACATCGATTCAGGGTCAGCTCGGACCTAAAACGTACTCTGCCTCCGAGTCAGCTCGGCCCTTTTCCAACTCGGTCCACTTTTCAATTTATTAATATATTGGTTTGTTTTATCACTCTTTATTGTTGGAACCACATAATTAATAACTGGACTTATTCAGAAACGTGGCCCTTGTCTAACTCTATTCTATCTTTAACTAATATAAATGTAAAAAAGTAATGTAAAGAAAAAAAGGCCCCACTGGCCTGGGGTTTGATACCATTACTCTCAGTTCATTGCTGTTGGTAGATATTCTAGCAAATAAAGATACTCATTAAGTATGTTATATATAATAGGGTTGTTTTTTTTATCTTGAAGCAGCATGCCTCCAAGTTATTGCTATTTTTCATGAAAATTTGAAAAAACTGTATATCAATGTAAAATATTGTGAAGTAAACAAGGAAAGTAATGACTATTGTACATGTTGCTAATGACACAATCCATATAATTTAAAAAAAAGACTCCAAAATACGCAAAAATAGCCCGGGGATAGGCACACTGTAGAAATATTGGGATCATGTGAATATTGCAAAATCAGTCATTGATGGCACATAATGTAAGGTATTTCTTGGACTTTTAACTTTTCTTAATATCTGTTTTATCAAGTTTGATTTTCTTTTGGCATATCTGGAGGCATGGAACAATTAATTCTAAATGTAATTGTTTCATAGAGAAATAGTTGTTTGATCACAATTTTAGTTTTTGTTACTGTTTGAAAAAGAAGCTTTGAGTTGAAAAATATGGAATATTTTGTTAAATCTTTGTTAGGCTTGTCCATCCGATAGAAGATTTATTTAAAAATGTTAAGTACTAAAACTGCATAGAAAGTATGATGTTAAGCAAAAACAACCCTTGTAATTGAAAGGGCATAAGTTTGACTCTTTTGCAAATTTCACAAGAAGTTTCATTTATATTTATTTATTTAGAAAAATTATAATTGCCCATGAATGTACCGAATATGATATGAGAATTTTCTATGAATGCCTATTGATACTTTTGATTTCTATAAAGGTTTATGTTAATAGTATGATAACTTGTACAGTGTGAATTCATCATTTTAAACTGCTTTGGAAATATATATTTGGTTCCTTTGCATACACTTGTTTGACATAACAAAAATCTGTAATTTATGTAGCTCTGATGAAAAATTTGGCAATTGTGTTACATGCTTATTGATTGTTGTTAGTACATTCATTACTATGATAATCACTGGTTGCATAGTTTTATTATTACACTTCTGCCTGTTTCATTTAAAACATTTTTTGTTGAAAATGGTGAAACATATTCAGTAGATTTTAAGGCAGCTGATATGAATAAGGGCACGTGTTTAGCTAAAAAAATATTTCGAGCTATTGCTACAGTCAAGTTGCTGTTCCTGCACAAGTTGCTTACCAGAAACTTTAAATTTAGCCATTATTTTTAATGGATTGTCTTCATTCTTAGACACAATAATTTTTTGACAAGATAATCAAGAAGACCAGACTGAAGTTGACCTTGATTCATGAATTATATTGACCTTCGAGATCAAATGTATGAATTTTGATTTTGAATTTTCATTTTCTTCAAACTTGTAGTTTAAGGCATAAAAGAGAATCAAACTCAATATGACTTTAATGTACTTGATGATAAAATTATTGAATTTCACAGTTTTTTGCTAGAATTTACCATTTTTTTTGCTTTGATTTTTACATTGCATCAGCATAGTGAAGGTCATAATATGGTTACTGTCCAGCATGACTGGTGGAGTAAACAACCTTGACCACTCTGTCACAGACACTCCTTCTAACAAGACATCCAAAAAGATTAAATGGAACTTGACCTTGGATTTAATTTTTGACATACTAGTGTTTTTGCCTTCGCCATCTGACCATCCGTCAGGTCGTCTGCATTAAGCTCGTCCGGCCTTCACAGGTCAAACTACTGGTGGAATTTCAACCAAACTTTACAGGAGTGATCAATTCTATCTGTAGTTATGTACATTACCGGCAAGTTCCGATTCGCTGCCCAAAATGGCCAAGAGAGCTAAAAAGAGAAAAATGTTGTCCGGCCTTCACAGGTCAAACTACTGGTGGGATTTTAACCAAACTTTACAGGATTGATGAATTCGATCCCTAGTTAAACACATTGCCGCCAAATTCCACTTCGCTGCACAAAATGACCACCAAAGCTAAAAATAGAAAAATCATGTCGACTTTCACAGGTCAAACTACTGGTGAGATTTCAAACAAATTTTACAGTCTTGATCAGTACCATCCCTAGTTATGTACGGTGTGAACATCGCCGGCATGTGAAGCTCTGCTGCAAAAAATGACTGCAAGATCTAGAAGTAGAAAAATCGTGTTGGCTTTCACAGGTCAAACTACTGGTGGGATTTCAACCAAACTTTACAGGAGTGATCAGTATCATCCCTAGTTGTGCACAATGCCTGCAAGTTCCGTTTCACTGCACAAAATGGCCGCCACAGCTTAAAATAGAAATCTTGTCACAGGTCAAACTACTGGTGGGATTTCAACCAAACTTAATAGGAGTGAACAGTACTATCCTTTGTTGTGCATATCGCCAGCACGTTTAACTTTGCTGCACAAAATGGCTGTCAGAGCTGTAAATAGAAAAATCTTGTTCAGCTTTTACAACTGCTGGTTAGATTTCAATGAAACTTCACAGGAGTGAACAGTGCCATCCCTAGTTGTGCACATTGCCGGCATGTTTTGTTTCACTGCACAAAATGGCTCCCATAGTTCAAACTAGAAAAAATATATCGCATGTCAAACCGCCAAAATTCAAAGGAGTGATCAGAACCATACACAGTTTTGGGAGACATGTTTTTGTGGCAAATATGATAAACAAGATCATCAACGAAAGGCGGCTTTCAATGAACGCAGCCCAACCCTTCAAATTCATATATGGACTTGACATTTATTTAAAAATCTTGAGAGTCAGCTGGAATTGTCATTACTTTGTTATTTTTAAGAGGTTTGATTCATGCTTGGGCAAACAAACACAAAACAACATGTTGAATCTTTCTGATATAACTTTGACCTTTAAATGAAAACTCCCAATGTTAAACAAGTTGAAATCGCTCACATTGTCATAACTTTGTTTTTGTGTATGATTTGATTCATTCTTGAACAAAAGAACACTTATCATTCAAATATGACCTTTACTTCAATGCCAACTACATTATACGAGGGACGGTCAGAAAATATCCGGACTTTTGACTCGTTCTCGAAAACCATTCAACATTTAAAAAAAATCTTTTTACTCCTCAAAATATTCTCCACCTACGTCTACGCACTTTTGCCATCTTCGTGGGAGCTTTTGTATTCCCGCTGTGAACCATGACGTAGACCTATGTTTTAGGTACTGTGTAACAGCAGATATCAAAGCCGCCCTGGTCTTATATTTCTTTCCAGCAAGCAATTTTTTCAGTTCTGGAAACAAATAAAAGTCACAGGGGGCGAGGTCTGTGCTATAAGGAGGGTGAGACAACAATTGCCATTTGTAAGAGTTGATAACCTCCACTGTAGCTGCGGCGGTATGGGAGGGGGCATTATCGTGAAGAAGGAGGACATTTTTCTGTGCTAACCTGGGACGCATTTGCTGAGATTTTTCAGAATTACTTCAGAAAAGTACTTGGCGGTGACAGTTTGACCTTTTGGCATGAAATGAGTAAGTATCATTCCTCGTGAATCCCAAAAGGCAACAAGAATGACTTTGCCAGCCGAAGGAGACAGCTTAAACTTTTTAGGAGGTGGGGAACCAGCTCGTTACCATTGCTTTGACTGAGCTTTTGTCTCCGGTTCGGAATAATGAACCCACATCTCATCTCCAGCAGTGATAATGCGGTTCAAAAACTTATCTCCTTTACGATTAAAACGACTTAAATGTTCTTTTGCATTGGTTACTCTGGTTGCCTTTTGATCTGCGGACAGCTGTCTAGGCACCCACCTGGCACTAACTTTGCTCATGCCTAGGTGTTCGTGTAAAATCTTATGTGCCGATGCCTAACCGATGCTAAACTTGTTGGCTACCTCCTCCAAAGTTACTCGACGATTTTTGTTAACAAAAGCTTTAACATTTGCTACCATTATTGGGGTCACCGCCTCAGCTAGCCGCCCAGTCCTAGGCCTGTCACAAACACTTGTTCTACCCTTCACGAAACCCAGTTGTAGAAGGTTGAACGTGATACACATTTATCAGAAAATATTTTTTAAGCCTCTGAAAGATGTGGCAGGGCTGTTCACCTTCTGCAACCAGAAACTTTATTACAGAGCGTTGTTTCTCTAACAAAGAGTCCATGATAGACGAAGCACCTATTATATATCAGAGGGCAAAATACTGTGTATACACAACTATCAGTGAAAATAAACTGACCACGTTATTAGCAAATGAATGTAGTTTTCAACAATATACATGTATAATGTGTGTATATAGCTGCACGTGGAAAGAGAGGAGCATGAAAAGTCCGGATATTTTCTGACCGGCCCTCGTATGTATCCATTCCAATTTACATTCTCACATGTTTTATGTATTGTTCTTGAAAGGTTTCTACAAAAAATAAGTTTGTT